TTCCGATATCGATAAAAAACTATCAGTACTAACTATTCTTTGCCCTCCCAAAGAAATTTAAATGACTTTTGACTGAGTTGGAATAAGATAAAGGAAATAAAGAAAAAGGAGGATGAAGAAAATATCATGAAATGTCACAAAAGATATATATTATCCCTTCAGACCTTACATAAGTTGAAAGAATAATTGCAAAGATGAAATTTTCTGGTTCAAACATAACTAGAGAAAATCTTAACTAAAACTGGAATTTTTGTTTAAAAAAGTGAAATTTAAAATCTAAGATTATTACTTTTAATATTTTATTGTGGCAATCTTCTTCACTAATTATATAAATTTGGAGCGCGTTTGGCGGGGTTATAAATGCATGGTTAGACGTAATAACATTGCTTTCGAGAGTCAAGTGGATCAATCTGATAGGTATAACCAAAACTTTGAAAACCCGCATAATTTATGAATGAAAATTTACGAAATATAGAATTGTTATTTTGTATAAGAAAGGTGTAATTTCTTGTGTTGGTTTGCGCGCACAAAGAGATTGGTGTACATCGGAGAGGTATATGATTCAAGTAATCATAAACTTGAAAGATATCACTGATAAATTTAACTGAAGTAGAACCCCTCCCGCGAACTGATGACAGGATTGGTCATAAACTTTTTCGAAAACGGTTTACAAGTTAAGCAAATACGACTTGTTTATTTAACATGATGTCGGGTTTTATTTTTTGTTCATTTGTCGCTTTGTGAAATTGTTTTCACTTGGCACATTCATACATCTCTTTGAAATGCTTTTTTTTTTTTTTTTCTTATTCCGTTTTTAGGAAATCATAAAATTTGATGATTCTTCGCTTGAGTTAAAAGGAAAAAATCAGTTTTTCGATTCCTGGAAAATAATAATCATAATAAGATAGCGCAGTTCCTGTAAATTTGAAGTCGTTTCAGATGGTGTGAAGAAAGAGGGACTAAAAATCCTTTGAACAATACATTGATATTGATTCAATCTTTTTTCAAGGAAATACTTCTATACATTTCTTATCTTAAATATCTCAAGTTTCCTTTGACGAAAAGACATTCACCCGGGACAATAACCAGGATTCATTTTAATAAATAGGCTTGGTATAATCACTACCAAACCCATTGTTACCTCAAAACATCCTTTTTAATTCTAATTTTGAAAGTCTTTATTTTTAAACACAAGTTTTAGTTACTTAAAAATTTCGATTTTGTACCTGGATTTTAACTGAAGTCGAAACATTTGTAATTCTGAGGTTGAGTTTTACCATGAAAAAGCTAAATATACGAGATGATATATCTTGTGGGCGGCAAACACGATGTTATATAAGGTTTCTAAGAACAATAGCTGTCTAACAACGGACCACAATCAAACCATAAATTGGACTTGGTAAGAGCCAGGAAAAACTAATTTGAAGTTTCCTCCCATTTTCGCTTTCTTTGAAAGAAACATTCGCCTCCTAAATCAGAGGGAATACGAATAATAGACAATTTCAAGTTCTCATTATAAATTATCAGTCATTTTTAAATGGATTTTATTGCCACCAGAAAAAGTACCGACTCTGAAAGCCTTTTTCTGTGTGATTTTTTCGGCAATATTCCCTTTATTGTTCGCGAAATTAAGTCTCGAGGATTTCAAACCGAAATTGTGACTTTGTTTTATATTCAAAAGGATATCATTATCCAATCTGATAAAATGCTATTTTTTTATCAAAGAGACCGGTTAATCGACTTGACTTGATTGATATTTATGTATATCGTATTTTCAAACTTGTTTATTTAGAATTCGATACAATGATTAATTATAGTGAGTTCTGTTTGTGGCGCTGTCATGCTGTGCGCGCCTTGGCGAGAATACTATTCCGAATATTGACTCTCATAATAACTTTTGCATTTAGTTTCCTAATACAGCCAGTTTCAAATCTATAAAGGTTACAAGATTTTGAGATAATAAAGAGAGATTCTAACAGGTTATTTCATGAGTGGACACGTCATTTGTGGGTAAATTGCGTAAATATTTATATTACTAAGTCAGTTCTTGATAGGATGTCCGTGGTAAGACGTAAGAACTCAATTCACAAACAAATTCTAATTTAATCCCAAAATTACAATTGCCAGAAAGATTTTTTTGGTAAACTTTTACTACCAAAAATTCGGAATTTTGCTAACAACAAGTGGCATCATTGTTTGTTTTAACATAGAGTTTTTTCGATTACAAAAGAACAACACTTCCCTATTTATAAAGAAATGTTCTCGAGAAACTTAGAAATGAATAAAACAATAAAAAGGCCTCAATAACATATGAGATTGCAGTGCTCTTTATGTATGCGAGATAAAATAAGACTTATAAGTTTTGGAGAATAGGATAGTTTTGACCATACATACTTGCGTAAAGGTAGTAAATCGGAGTACATCGGGAGTTACCACTCTCATTGCTACGCGCTGATCGAAAAACAGTCGCGACAATAGACTTCCGTCAATCAAATAAATTCTCTGATTGGCGGCAATGTATTGCCCTATATCCCTGTTGCGACTGTTGCGCGTAGCAGTGAAAAGAGTGGTAAGTTTCGAAAAATAGTGAAGTTCTGAGCTGACCAGTTGACCTAAAAATGCCATGGGTTTTAGCCTCACAAAGAGAAAACGCTAACTATAGAATATCAGTGATTCCTAGAAAATCATGATTGCATCGTCATACATTTATCGATCATATCTTAAGATTTAGAGATGTTTAACGACTCATTTTAAGCATTTTGTAAAGTAAACTAGGAAATTGTTCGTAGAAAATCTGGAACTAAAGTGGGTTTTTAATAATAAAACAAAGAAAAAAGCAAAAAAAATCTGAGAGTTTGTTTTTTAAGAAGAAACTTTAAAAATATATTTCTGGTCCAGTTTGTATTTTTTCAAAATCTTTTCATTGTTTTCTTTATACTATTTAAGTAATTTTACGCTATCAGATGGAACGAAAGTTTGGAGCTTTCAGGAGTGAGGAGTGCTCTAGTCCATTTAATTGGCCACCTCGGTGTTTTTTCGTGCGCTTTGGAAACACAAGACAAAACGAAGTAATGATCATACAAAAAAGCATGGAATTATAGGATTTATTTTGACTTGCTTGCTTAATGTACCTGCTAAAAATTGATGAAAGAGTTCATAGTGTTCTTTACGATTTTCGACTGTTTTTGCACGTGGGGCAAGTGACCTGTCTCACGCCTCGCTATACACCAAAGTAGGCCACGAGATATTACAATTCTACCACGATTCCAAGGCTTTCAGGCGGAATAAAATGTTTAAAAAAAATTGCATTAAACCTCAATAGGATCTGTAGATATAATGTAGATTCAATTATAACGTTTTGTGTAGTGAACTGACTAGCATTTATACAAACTTTTCTTATCATTGCCGAAAGGTAATAACGTCGTGTATGGTACATTATTTTATTCCTATTAATAAATGTATTTGGTGATCCAAGTGTTTGTTCTATACAAGGAGTGCCTCATCGTCAAATTTGAATTTTGAGATGATCGGAACGTGGCCCGATTCATTTGTTCACGTTGTAAGTATTTAACGGCTAACAGGAAAAGCAAATAAAACGTTTCTACCATGCTTCGTAAAACCAAGGAGTTTGCCAAGCAACCAACTGAGCACTTGAAAATCACTTTTGTATCACCTTAAGAAAATCTTCAAAGGTGTTAATTATGAATCTCAGTCATCGAGATTAATAAAATTTCAAAACGTTATGAATAGATCCCCGAACATAAGAACTGGACAAAATCTGTGCACTTTTGCTTTTGTATAGGTTTTCAATAGCGGCCGCCATCTTGTAAGGGCCATTTGTAAGGGCTAGAAAGCAGCTGCGGACGAACTGGGCCGGACAAAAACCTTCGAAGTTTTGTTGCAAACTCTGTGGGCAAATTTTTCAATAAAATCTCGAACTTTTTCAAAAGGTATTGAGTGTGGAAAGTCTCTTTGTAATTCTAGATACTGATTGTTCATTAAATGTTTGAGCGTCTCCAAAAAGAACTGGAAATTCGAGTAAATTTTCCTTGTCTTTGAAACTTTGTATACACTAATACCGTGACGAACATAACGATGACCACTCTTATGAAAAGACAACAAAGTTTGACAAAAAGTCATCACAATTTTGAACGATATTTCAACTCTTAAGAAAACAATCTCCCCAATGCGTGTATGTATAAAACAAAATATAACCTCCATTCTCGAAAAAAGAGTTTTCAAGAGTTTTGACTTTATTTTCTTGTAATTTTAAATTCAGTTGTGAAAAATTCCCTCAATTTTATTCAGTGAGAGGAATGAATAACAGCGCCAAACACTAGACTCTCTGGGGACTTGCCTATCATAGCCTGCGTTGTTTGGCGGTCTGCGGTTGTGGCGAGGCGGATAAAAAGGGATTTCCGCCATCCTGCAATAAAATGACCGCAGACCCGGCCAAGCCACGCATGCGTCGTTGAACATGGATACAGATGAGCATGCGCAAACGCTTTTTATCTCTCCTCGAGTTTATGATCATTTAATTTCTATTTTTGAGTAGATATTGATATCTATAAGGGTCTCATTCGTCGTTGCGATCGTATGAATATATTCCATTTTAGAGGTAATATTTACAAAAAAAAAAAAAAGACTACACAGTGCCAAGACACTCCGTCTTTAAGAAGATCATACAAGAAAAGAGAGAAATATTTGGCTAGTTTGCAATTATTCCCAGAAACAAAGTACCAAGTATATTGCCGTAATGTCGGTTGTCATAGAAAACAAACCAATAAACAATCTTCTGTTATGTTCACATAATTATGTCACACACGCACACGCACACACACACAAGCATACCCTTTTTCTCACACACGCACATGCACACACACACACACACGCATACCCTTTTTCTCACACGCACACGCACACCCTTTTTCTCACACACGCACACGCACACCCTTTCTCACACACACATATATAAGAACAAACTAATGATAAACATTTTCTGAGATAGTGATCGTAATGCATTGCGTCTAGCTTGGGCACAAACATCTTTTGTTCTACATGCCTCGTATGATGTTTTTATACCCAAGCTAGACTGCAATGCAACTTATGTGCTTTCTAGAATATCTAGGATAAACAGGATGCATTGTGGTCTAGCTTGGGTATAAAAACATCATACGAGGCATGAAGAACAAAAGATGTTTGTACCCAAGCTAGACAATGCATCCTATTTATCCTAGATATACTAAATAGCAAACAAGTTGCATTGCGGTCTACCTTGGGCACAAACATCTTTTGTTGTTCTTCTTTTGTTCTTTGGGTGATAATCAACACCATACGAGATGGTGTTGATTACCACCCAAGCTATACCACAATGCATCCTGTTTATTAAACTAAGAAAATGAATGTTTTTCATATAGATTGAATACAAAGGCTATATTTTTTATCCCAAACTCAGGATCACTCAACTCGTTGTTTGATTATTACTAATGCGCGAATTGAAAGAATAGAAAAAGAAAGTATATACTATAGAGGCTTTGCACATTCACGAGATGGCAGCCATGACACGAGGCACAACAATAGTCTTTTTCTCTGGAAAACTGAATTCTTTCTCATGTAAATCAGATTCGACCAGATTCCATTGTTTCTGCCTTCTGTCATGGCAACCATCACGTGTTGGTGCCGCAAAGCCTATTTTTTCCGAATTAAAATATGAATTCAGTAAGAACTCCTTGCTTGGGTATATGACTTAATACTGTTACAGTATACGAACATGGCGTGTTTTAACGGACACTTAACCCATATATTTCAAAGCGGGAGGAGCGTGTTACCGATATTCCTAGAAAATTTTGGAATGATGAATATATTATTTGGATATATAGAGCCGGGTTATTTACCGTCCAGGTGGTCCGGCTGATAGAGATAAACTGTGCCGAAGGTCTTGAATGTCCGTATTCAAGGTCGAGGGCACTTCACAGTTTTTCCTAAAAAAATTTAACAAATCTCCGATGGTTTAGCGTTGTATTTCTTCTATTTACCATGATATGGGGCCAACGGTTCGTCAAAATGTTATGTACCCACGAGGCGTAGCTGAGGTCACCGGACCGTATCCTCGAGTCCAGAGGTACCCAAAGCGAAAAAGTACCTCTGGATCCCAGGGTAATTGGACCTTGGTCAGACACAAAAATGCCGCCCGCTCTAACAGCGAATCAGAGTGCACGATTTCTTAGGATACCGTAGGACAAAAATTCCTTCAGTTTATGAACTTTTCCTCAGCAATGCCCGTTGTCCATTGTGATGTCAATCTCAATATTCTCGCTTGTATTTCCCTCCATGGACCCACACACGGATTCTGATTCAAGGTTCTCTTCAGTTGGCATAAGACAAACCTTCGGCGAGTCACTTTTGCTGATGTCCGGATGAGTTCGTTTCGGAAACAGTTCATGACTGGGTTGACTATCAGCAGGGATATAGCTGTCATTCCTTAGCTTCTGTAGCGGGACAGACGTCGAGAGAGATATTCTTGTCCTAAGGGTCATTCCTCGGCTGACTTGAGAAGACGAGCTTCTTCGTCTTCTTCGACTCATACGAGTAAATGTCCTCTTGAACTCACGGCGGTAGTTTTCCGAAAACACGAAATAAAGTATCGGGTTGATTGCTGCATTTGCAAAGCCAAACCAGGGAAGGAGAATGAACAATGTCAATGGCAACTGGATTTGAACGCCGGACCCAAAACTTTCTATCAACTCACGGATTTGAAATGGAAACCAACAAATAGCGAAGACAACGACAACAGTAATGAGCATGGCCGTTGCTCGTTTAGTAGAAGACTGGATTCTCTTGTGCACGCGTAAGCTTCGATGTCCTGGGACCTTTCTGTTCCAGAGTCTAAGACCTGTCAAAGTATACATGGCAGTAATGAGGGTCAATGGAAAAGCGTAAGTGCACAGAGAGAAGGCGAAGATGTAGTTTCGGTATGACACAGGTTCCATGTTTTCCCACACCTCGTTACAACCAACATAACCAATGGGTGATTCAATCACATCGGTGACAATAAACAAGGGAATCAAGAACGCAAGAGTGAGTAACCAGACTACAGTGATCATGATTTTCACAATCCTGATCGTCAAGATGTTCTTCATTGGAAACAATATTGCAAGGCTACGGTCAAGGCTTATGCACACCAACGTGAATATGGAACATGCTATCGATCCAGCTTGAGCCGAGTGACAGAACTGGCAAAGAATTTTACCAAAAACGCCACCGAACCAAGATCTCCCGACAAAGAGCCACTTAATGACATAAGGAATGTCGATTGTGATCCAGAGATCCGCTACCGCCATGTTAGCGATAAGGATATTGGTAGTATTGCGCATGTGCCTACACGAACACACGATGTACAAAATGATGGTGTTTCCTATCAGAGCCACGACGAAGATCACTACGGCGAAGAAAGTCACTCCGATCTTGAGGCTCGTGGGAACAACAAAGAGCTGATGGGGGCCCGGGACACTTGTTCCGTTAGTAATATTTGACCCTGATGAAACTGAAAAAATAGAACAAATGAATTTCATGTTACTAGAAAGAGAAAAGATTCAAGGGGCAAAATTTGGTGACCATGTTGGCAACTATTAGCCCCCTCAACTGAAGCTACGATAGTTAGATAGGAGGCACATCATCCATGCAAGAGGCAGTCATCCATGCAAGACATGTGTGTCTTCAATTAAGAACCCGATTTTCAAAGACGGCGGATTTAGGTGGTGTAACGAAGGGAATGACATGCTTCTACTTTGTGAATCCGCGGATATTAACTCAAACTAGGGCCCAATTGAATTAACCCCTATAATTTGATGCAATCTTCATAAACATGCGAACTCTGTGTCTGCACGCTGAAATTTGTTTTTTCGCTGCCGTCAACCAAACCTATCAGTCGGTACCTTTCATATTTGACTGGCGACAACTAAAGACCAAATTTCAGCGAGCAGACACAGAGTTCGAATGTGTATGAAAATTGCAGTAAATGAGCTCGTTAATTGTTTGTTAAATATTTGCGCAGTTGTATCCAAGAAGGATGAAACTGAGACGCTTTTACTGATACGGCGGCCATCTTGAATTATGAGATGCCAAGAGGGCAAACGTAGAAAATGTATAAAACAGAGTGGGGGCGGGGTTAGTAAAATAATCAAATAATTGGAAGTCTTGTTGTTTCGCATATTCTTCCGACTACCAGCAAATTCAATTGCTTTTAAATGTGCTCCTCATAGTAAAAAGCGTTACGTCATATAAAAACATCCTGACAGCTGTACTGTCTATACATTTTCCAATAGTTGCCTCCTCGGCATCCCATAATGTCTTTATTAAAACAATAGAATTCAAGATGGCCGCCGTGTCGGTAAAAGGTCTGTTATCTTTCTTGAAGTACCTCCCCCACCCCCCACTCCCCTCAAAATCCTAGATTCTCATTTCTTCGCTGCACGTAAAAACCCAAACCGCATCGATTTGAAACTATGATTAAGCCTTGACTGACTTAAATCTATTAAGCTAGTAATAAGTTTATAAGTCTCTAAATCCCAAACAAGATCAACATTTTCTCTCTACATTTCTTTTGATTATTCTAAAAGCATTTTAAAATAAACGGGATGAAAATGAGCAATTAGCAACTGTGTGCAATATCTCTGAACCACTGACTGACCAATTAAGCACAAAAAAAACACATTACGCATACTTATTGGCAATGTTGTCACCTGCTTCTTAGCTTTAGCATTAGTGGCAAATAATCATGTTGGTAAAGTAAGCACCATCATTGTTAAGGCATACAGGTGCCGCAAAGCCTTTTGATGAAAGGTTTAGTCCAAATTACAAGAGAAATTAATCTAGGGAAGTTTGAGGCTTCAGTCCTAAAGTGATGGGCCCTGTTTGGGTTATATGGTTACTCTTGCGTGGGAATAATAAGATTCTTAGATTCAATAATATTTTCGAGTATTGATGTGAGGAATAATGTATTATCAGGTGTTTTGAAATGAAAAAAAGTTGAGCTATCTCGTCAGAACAAGAGCAACATTGCAGCAGAATTCGTTCTCTTTCTCAGGATTTGTTCTCGTTTTGAGGGAGGAAGAGAGGGAAGGAGGGAGGGAAGGAGGGAAGGAGGGAAGGAGGGAAGGAGGGAGGGATACATGAATTTAAGGATACATGAAGTTTGTAAAATTCTTACCAATACTGAAATTCAGTCACTGAATTTATGTATTAGTAGGAATTTTACAAACTTTTCATAAGACAAAATTTTTATATTTGAAGCATTAAAAAAGATAGGCCAAAGAAAGGAAGTAAGAAAGAAGAATTGAGCAAAAGAGGGAAGGAGGGAAGAAGGGAAGGAAAGAAAGAAAGAACTGATTAACAAAGAAAGAACGAAATCAAAAGAAAAGAACTGAATTCGGAAAAAAAGCTTTCAACGCCACCCGTCTGCAATCATCACACTTCCTACGCCCGCAAACCTTTTTCCAAAATATTGATGTTCAATAAGTACGAATTTCTTCATTATTCCACAAAATCATAAACATTTGTCTTTTCACACCTCGTTGTCAGTCTCTCTCTCTAGTATTATTCCAACCACACAACAGACCGATCTTAGCCTTGTATTTAGCTTAACGTCTTCAGAATCAGATTACAATGGTTTGAAAATGTTTAGGCTTGTTGTTTACCTAGACTTTGTCTGTATTTCCGTGTGAATTGAAAATAAAAAAACTCTAGATACTGTCATATTTGCAATTCTGAATTCAGACGTCAAGAAAGTTATATTCCGTTTGGCGAAAAACTGATTAAAATCCTATTGATTTCATATCAGTACATTACACTGACTTCGAGCTTGTCAATTACAACTTCATTGAATATATAATAAAAATAATATAATATAATAAAAAAAAAAGAAGATATAATAATAAAAAAAAAGATTTAAAAAAGATCATAAAATCTTTTAATATTAAGCGCCTAAATGAAAGCCTAAATTTATTCATTTCTATTCCTTTTAGTAATTTTGTTTATTCTATTTTCCGGAAAAAACGCCAATTCGTTTTAGCTCCGAATCTACTTTTTTGTCTTCTTTTTTTGTTCCTTTCATTTCCTTTTTGTTTTTTTCTTTCTGTTTTAAATCTTGAAAAAAAAAAATTGACATTTACACCAACCAAGATATATTGCCCATCTTTCACAGAAATGACTTCACATTCATTCAAGAATAATCTAGAATTGTTAGAAAGGTTTCTCAACCTGCTGCTTGAAATGAAATGAGTATTGACAGAATTAAAGAAAGAAGTCAATGAAGCTAATATTCCTTTTTCTCTGTCTTTTTCTAAATGAAGATTTACTATTTAAGTTATATTAATGTTCAGTTGTAAGTAGAGAATGGCGGCAAGGGGGATAGTATAGGATGAATAGAGGTTCCATGCGTTGGTACATTGTACTTTTCATCATGTATAAGGCGCGGAGTTTTGTGTGATTTAGACTTTGGATATACCAATGTATTTGCCCGTGATAATAAATAGCATTCAACTGACTCATTCGATTAATTTCACTCCATTTTTCATTCCCTGGACATCTTTATACAAGACCATGATAAAACGTCAAAGTTGTCCTAAATTTTCTTGATTAAATCTTGCTGTACGTTATGAATATATATTTCTGATATCAGTTTGCTCGAGGCTTATCTTTAAGGGATATCGGCTACGATAGTCATCGATCCTTTGTCAAAGAAGTTAGAATTGTGTTGCGTCACGTAAAACGCCCCGAAAAAAAGAGGGTATTTTTCTTTTTTCTTACTCGATGCAAAAAGGAGAATTATCGATACTCATGTATACATTCACGACTACAATCGGCCAAGATGCTAGGGTTTCTATCAAACTTACCATTTTCACTTGCGAAGCCTTCCATTTTACTGCCTTCACACGCTCGTCTGGAGAGGGATGTGTCGTTGTTCCTTATAATCAGGAGCGTCACTAGCTATAACTTTAACAATAATAATAATAATAACTTTAATATCTATAACGCGCTTATTTTGTATACATATGCTCACATGCGCGCTGATATATAAACAGAAAACAGCAGGGAATATCAGCGCCTTCATTCTTACCCCGAGGGGAATGAATGCCTATTTCTAGTACTATACCAGCGAGGAAAAGCAAGCAAATTCCTGACTGAATCTACTGGGAACGAGTAAATATTACTGTGTTCTCAACCTCTGTGGGCTGCGCTGCTGTAATGTAGGCATGGCTCAGTATACAGATCAAAACCTTTGAACAACCTCTGCGCTGATCAAAGTCAGGGCATGGACCCGCTAGCTCACAGATCAACCCTTGAAACAATCCGTCTGCGCTGATCAAAGTCAGGGCATAGCTAACTTACAGATCAAACCTTGAACAATCTCTGCGCTGATCAAAGTCAGGGCATGGACCCGCTAGCTCACAAATCAACCCTTGAAACAATCCGTCTGCGCTGATCAAAGTCAGGCGGCATGGCTAGCTCATAGATCAAACCTTGAAACAACGACCTGGCGCTGATCAAAGTCAGGGAATGGCTAACTCATAGATAAAACCTTGAAACAACGACCTGGCGCTGATCAAAGTCNGATCAAAGTCAGGGAATGGCTAACTCATAGATAAAACCTTGAAACAACGACCTGGCGCTGATCAAAGTCAGGGAATGGCTAACTCATAGATAAAATTGAAATTTGGCTTGAGTGTTAGGTTTTGCAAAACACAAGAAAGAATAAACTTTATTTCAAGAGGGGAACACACGACAGTTATAATTGAAAAAATATCATGATCATACTGATAACCCAGTGGCCCTCAGAAAAGCTCTCCAAACAAGAGAGAAAATCAATAAACTGTACTTACATGTTGTCACTGTGCTGCCGAGTCCAAATCGAATCCAAGACCCCAGAGGTGGGAGGCAACACCAGTCTTGAATCCTTTAACGCAACTTCTCTCTGAATATCTATAAAAGCCGCCAACACACGTTGAACAATTATCAGAGATTAAAAAGTTTTGGATAATAAACATTGCTGGTTGATGTTTATTTCAGTTAAGACATAACAATTAACGCGGCTGGTTTTTGCTTAATTAAACTATATGAACTGTACTAAATGAAAAAAACTGAACAATTGAAATTAAAACCTTAAGCTGATCAAGTAAAGCGGCAGTAAGTGTGTAAGTGTGTGTACACCTCAGACGTTTCCTATGCCCCCCACCCCCATCCCCAGCAGGAGCAATGGTTAAGAGATAGCAGTTTATTAACAGTTATAACTATATCAGATGACTCAGTATTGAGCTATTTCAACAGTAGAAAACATCTACTTTGTACGAGAGACAAAGAATATAACGCATTATTCTATAACGTGCACGATAAAGAACAAAATAAATAATTTGAATTTCTCGGCGGGCTTATCAAACACTAATATAAAGGATAAAGGTGTGATTGTCGGTGGATTGGCTCGACGAATTAATCGATTGACAGCAATTAGAAACCTAAGAGAAAAGATATTCATTTCTCACCAGCGAGGATTAAAAGCAATCAGAGCTTTCTTTATTCAGCTCAATCTCGCAACCAAAGCTTTTATTTCTTACTGCGCATGCTCGACGAGCATGCGCAGTAAGAGGTAAAGGCTCTGGGTACGAGATTGTATTCAGCTGTTATATCACTTTGCGCATGCGTCGGGTGATGTCCGTCGGGTGATGTCCGATACGTGTACTTTTCCAAGCATGTGTAGTAAGAATGGCAGACCTACCGAATCGAAAGTGGTTTTCACTTATGAAGTAGACACTGTCTAGCGGGTTTTGTTAAGATTATACGCAGTGGTAAAGGAGATGCTCTTGACAGAAACGAGATGTCGTTGGTCGATTGCCGTTTTCTTGTTAGTAAACTGTTATATATTTTAAGAAAAAACACGACACGTTTTAGTTTTAACTCAGACACGGTCACACTATGCCGAGCAAAAACAGACAAGTGCTATATCTATTCTATAAATTTCCAAATTAAAAAGAAAATTAAATAAGAAAAAAATTGGAGCAAAAGCTTGAGTAGGTGCCGTGTTTAGGTCACCCATCCAAGTGCTAACCCTCCGCAGGGGTGCTTGACTCAGCATCTTGAATGCGCAATTTTTTCCCACTAAGCCACGGTTCCATGAAATTAGCAAAACAATAGCCATGAAAACAATGCAC